TTTTCGTCGCGCTGTGATGACGTCAAATGCGCGCTTTCGTCGAGCGCGATTTTGTCCTCCGCGGTTTTGTGGTGGAACCATTGTCGACAAGAGGAATGGCTGTGTTTATTGTTTAATGTTATATGGCCCCGGTTCTGTACAGTATATGTGTGACTGTACAAAAATGAAAATGGAAAATAAAACACATTTACACGAAAAAGGGGGGGGCAGATTTTGGAGAAAAGTTTGCAGATTTATTATTTTTTATGTCACTGGACGTTATTCCAGCTTTACTCAGCTGCGGGATAACAGCAGCAACTGTTTTAATAAGACACCAGGTGATCCCTCCTCTATTCCACATTATGGAAGAAACAATTTTCCGAGCGGGGGGGCGGGGGGCATTGCACTAAGAAGGATCTGGACTTTTCTTTCAGTGACAAACCGCCCAATGCTGGGAGCCCTGGCCCTCTGCCTCTTCCTTCTGGCCACCAACATCACGCTTGGCGTCCAGTGTGAGTAGCAGCTGCTTTACGCACAAACCTGCACTCCGGCAGTCTCCGGGGAACAAGTGGGCAGACGCCCAGATTCTTGGGTGGGGAGAGAAGAAGGGTCTCCTGGAGGTGTCATCGTGTCTCCCTCTGCACTTGAGGGAGGGCAGGTCCCCACGCAAACCAAGGGTAGTCCCACTATGGGAGGCTGTGGGGCAGCCTCTGCCTGTGCGGGACTCTTGCTCTGAGGACACTCAGCTCCTGCTCATCGCCACAGAGGAGGCACCACCGGGAGAGCCAGGGCTGCTGACCTGAGAACTGTCTCCCACCTGGCAGCCCAGGATCCCGGAGACGAGATCTTCACCCGCGCCCACTTTCCCTCCAGACATGCAGGCCTCCCGGCAGCTCCAGCAAGCATCTCGCGACCACGCGGCCAAGAGCCTCTTCCTGGGAGAAAGAACCCAGCACCTACAAGCCAGCCTGGAGAAGAGCCAGCACCGGCTGCGCCTGACCGAGCAGGAGCTCAACTCCACCCAGAAGGAGCTCAACTCCACCCAGAAGGAACTCAACTCCACCAAGAAGGAACTCAACTCCACCAAGAAAGAGCTCAATTCCACCACGGAGGCCCTTTGGCAGAGCCAGGCGGCCAAGAACCAGACTTGGCGGCAGCTGCAGCACCAGGAACTCCTGCTGGGCCAGGCCAACCACAGCCTGGCTCTCCTGCAGAGGGAGCGGGCCAGCCTGAAGATCAACCTCAGCCAGGCCTCCTCCTGCCGGAAGATTGGTAGGATCTGGGCTCTGTCTGGGCTCCCCTCTTCCTGCCATTGGAAGAGCCTGCGTGGTTGGGGACCTTGGGGGGCTCCCCTGAGCAGGAGGCGAGGTCTGGGTGGGCAAATCCCACATATGGGGTGGGGATGGGGGCTTGCTTCTCCACATTTGGTAACTTCCTGGCATGAGCAGCCCCCAGATTCTGAGCCTGGCGTCACTGAGCATCTTACACCCCGTCCCCAAAGTATCGGTTCCTCAGCCTGGACCAGGGGAACAAGAGCGTGACCAGCTTCCTCTTAAGCTGTTGCAAATGCCGCCTCCTCGTCACGGGACTCCCCGGAGATGCTGGTTGCACCCCCGCACCCCTGGCCAACTTACAGCTGCTTCGATGGCAGCTCAGAGCAGCAGGATGGAGTGGGGGGCGGGGGCGCATCATGGAGCAGTGCTGACCCTTCCCCAGTCGTCCTCCCCTTTTGGCCTCCAGTGGCCCTGGGTGGAGCGGACCCGAGGAATCTCCAGCGGACGCCACTCACCCCTCTGAACTTTCCCTCTAGGGTGCTGCCCCGACGGATGGACACTGTTCCGCTGGAAGTGCCTGTGGGTGTCGGAAGATCAGATATCGTGGTGGAAGAGCAAGGAGGCCTGTGACAAGGAGTCTTCGCGGCTGCTGGTCCTCCCGGAGCCCTGGTCAGTGCGAGAGCTCTGGGAGGCCATAGGTGAAGCATTCACCCAGGTGAGGAAAGGCAGAGCAAAGAGCCTCGGGGGGGGGGATATGTTCCCTCCATAAGATTCGGCATAAGGACATTCCCCCCCCCTCACACCCCCAGTCTCAACGGAGCAGCACCAACTTATGCTTAGAATGTATGAGAAGAATTTTGCCTCTTCAAACCCTGTGGTGTTCACGTTTGTCAAGATCCATCTGGATCTTCAGCCTATCATTTAGGATGTTGGCAATTCGTGCCAGCTTGGTATCATCTGCAAATTTGGCAAGTTCCCCTTCTATTCCCTCATCTAAGTCACTTATGGACTTTTGGTACTGCTTGCTTCCCTCCATGTAGACGTAGTACCATTAAGGACTACCCATTGAGTACGATTTGTCAGCCAGTTACGAATCCACCTGATGGTGATGCTGTCTATCCCCCATTTTTCTAGCTTACCAAGAAGTAGGTTGTGGTCTTCTTGGTTGACTTGTAATTTGTAATTTAATGAGTTTATATGCCGCCCAATCCCGAAGGACTCCGGGCGGCTTACAAATACAAGATAAAAATAAAATGACAAATAGGGGAAAGAACAAAAAAACAATTTAAAAACACAACATACATTAGGGTTAAACTGGGGGTTG